TGTCAAGCTCTGCTGAGTGGGGGTGCAGCCTCAGGTCCCCTGGCCCTGAGGGGGGCGGGGGGCGCACCTTGAGATTTCCCTTCAAGCCCCGCTGGGTGGGGGACGCGGCCTGAGGTCCCCTGTCAAGCCCCGCCAGGCATGGGGCACAGCCTCAGGTCCCCTGGCCCGGCGCCAAGAGGGGGCACAGCCTCAGGTCCCTGCTGATTGCTTGTTAAGGCTCATTGCAGCCATCTTGTGTTACAGAAACCCCCTCGCCTCCACTGTGGGCACCACATCTTTGTGGAGGAGTGATGGTCAATTTGCATATTCCCTCTTTATTATATAGGATACATACAGGAAGTCACCATGGATCCTAAGAAGGTTAGTGATAGCAGTCAAGTGAAAAGGAAAGTTGTGAGAATAGCAATAGAGCTTTAAAAAGTAATAATTGCAAAGTCTGATAAAGGAGTTTGTCATGTCTAATCTGGCTACCAAGTATGGCATGGTGAAATCACAATTAGCACAATTTTAATACATAAAGAAGCCATCAAAAGTGTGATGTTGCTAAGGGTGTGAAAGCAGTCAGCCAGTGACAGCATTTCATATGTGAAAAAGCAAATATGCTGCATACTGACCTCCTCAAAGACACCCCTGGCATGAGTGCTGAAAGTGATTTGTTTAAGGCTAATAGGGATGGTTCGATAAATTTAAGAAAAGAAGTGGCATTCATAATATAGTGAGGCATGCAGCGGCTGCCAGTTCTAACAAAGTAGCTACTGATAATTTTGTGACAGAATTTCAAGAATACGTAGAGGCCAAGGGATTTGTTTCCCAACAGGTGTTCAACTCTGATGAGACAGCCCTCCTGTGGAATAAAATGCCAAAGATGACCTATATCACACAGGAGGAGAAGTCATTGCTAGGACACAAACGAGTGAAGGACCAGCTGACATTAGGTTGTGTGGGAATGAGAGTAGGGACTCTAAATTTAAGCCTCTAATTGTCTATCATTCTAAATTTAAGAAAAATAATGTCATGTGTTTTCAAGAAAAATGATGTCATGAAAAACAAGTTGAATGTGATGTGGAGAGCGAATAGCAAAGCTTGGGGAACCAGGCAATTTTTTGAGTGGATTCATGAAGTGTTTGCCCCAAGTGTGAAGAAATACCTCTAGGAAAAACAACTGCCACTCAGGGCACTTGTAATGGACAATATTCCTGCCCACCTTCCAGGCTTGGAGGCCAAGTTGATGGAGGTGTATAGCTTCTTCACTGTTAGGTTCTTGACACTTAACACAACTCCTCTCCATCCAGCCCATGGACCAGCAGGTCATTTCTAATTTTAAGAAACTCTACACAAAAACATTGTTTCAGAGGTGCTTTGAAGTGACCTCTGAAACTAATTTAATACTCAGGGAGTTCTGGAAGGAACATTTTAACATCTTCACTTGCTTGAGGCTAATAGACAAAGCATGGGCGGAGTGTCTTCCAGGACCATGCAATCAGCCTGGAAGAAACTGTGGCCTGAGTCCATTGCTGAAAGAGACTTCGAGGTCTCTGAGGATGAGCCAGTGTCTGTTGTAGAGGATACTGTGTCTCTGGGAAAGTCATGGGCTTGAAGATGGGTGATGATGATGTGGAAGAGTTGGTGGAGCACCACAACACTGAGCTGACCACCAAGGAACTCCAAGACCTTCAGAGGGAGCAGCAACAGACAGTAACTGAGGAGCTCTCTTCAGAGGAGGAGGAGGGAAATGAGGGTATTCCTACTTCACTAATCCAGGAAATGCTTGGGAAATGGGGGAAATGCAAAGTTTTATTGAAATAACTGTATCACCCTGACAAAGAAGCAGCAAACTGTGCAATAAACTTGTCCAATGACAATGCAGTGTTTCACGTCAGGTAAGTGTTAAAATACAGACAAAAACAAACATCATTTGATAGGTTTTTAGTGAGAAAGAGGCCCAGTGAGCCTGAAGCAAGTTCCAGTGGAACAAAGAGACAAAAGCAAGAAAGAACCCCAGATGAACAGCTACTTGACATTTTCATGGAAGGGACTCTCCTCCTAAACAATAACACTCCTCCATCCCTCCTCTCCATATTCAGTCATCAGTAGCTCTCAACATGAAAGGTAAGTTCTAGTGTGTATGTAAATTTTCACTTTTTACTGTACATTTCATTTTCTTTTTGTTAAGTTTTCACTTATATTTCATGTTCTTTTGTTTTTAAAGTGTTTATAGATTAAACAGTACATTAAACATGTACTCTATATAAGAAATGTTTAAATCATTTGGGGAGCTGGATCAGATTAATTCAATTTACATTATTTTTAATAGGAATAAACTGATTCGGTTTTTGAACAAATTGTTTCTCGAACAGCCTTCCAGAATGAATTAAGTTCAAGAACCAAGGTTCTACTGTATTTCTAGTAATCTGGCTAGTTATACTTTTGCTGGCTTTGGACAGAAAGCTAGTACCACTATAGAACTAATCCAATATTACCCACCCTCTCCATCAATCCATTGTAAAGAAGTGCAATATACAAAAAGACAACTCTGGCAGTAACAAAGCAATTACCCAAATGTGACAACCTAAGCAACAGGCCACTAAACAAGGCAAAACAGGGAAGGGGTATGCCTTATCACTAGCAAGCAGACAAAAGGGTACATATTCAATTAATGCTTGTCTGAGTGTCACCTATTTACCCAGCACTGTGGAGTTGAGAGAGAAAGGTAATAAGATACACAGTCTTTTCCTTATCTTCCCAGTAAGATAAGGTACCACAAATGAAACATTTAGAGAACAAGACAAGTGTCAATCTGTGTCCTGAAAATAATATATTCTAATAATATATCAGAATTCAGAGAGGACACAATAAAACAATAGTAAGGAATTGAGAGCCAGGAACCACACAAATCAAGAATAGGACTAGGACTTGAATTTAAAAGAATTTTAATGGCAGGTGTAATTAACCACAAATGTAACTTATCAAATCACTTCCCTCAGCTCCCATTGTTTCCTTATGTGCAAGGTGAGGATGTCAGATTCAAAGAGGAGTCGGAGGTCACAGGCTCCAACCTGAAATGGACCTTAGGGCTAGAGGGGTGATGAAAACATAAATTCAGCTATAAGAACTGCATAAACATTTAGCATGGATATATGGGATACTGCCTTAAGTGCAGTGGAATATTTGCGCTAGGGTGGATCTGGGAAACTAAGACTGGGCCAGACATGAGGAACCCAGTTAAAGAACTGGGATTTGCCCCTGTGTCAGGCAATGTAACCTCGGTTAAAACTTTCAGTTTAAACTGAAATGATATCTCTGCCAAAGAAATACAATGTGTAAAATACAGAGGGGCAGCCACAAACTGTAACAGTACGGTGACAGACTTAAGAAAACAAGATTTAGTAATTCAACATAGCGGTTGATCGCTAGGAAATGCCAACAGTCAGACTGTCATAATCAGAGATGAAACAGTTTGATTTAGCAAAGGAATTACACAGCTCACAATGAAAGGCAGCCCACCTTTAAAGAGCCATCCTTGAAAATAGCAGCCACCTTCACTAACCACACAGGAAGGCATGCAACAAACATTTTACATCAGTCTTACAGTCACAAGCTGGGGAGCTCCAAACAGGAAAAGAAAAATTACTAGATGGTGCTAAAAACATATTGAATAAGCCCCTGTACTTTAATTCCTATTTACCCAGTTTAATAATATTTTAATGGGGGATGAGGAGGAGTTATGTTTTATAACTTCAAAACTACATTTACCAATTAGCTGAACTGTGTTGCTTAGAACTCATTCTCAAAACTGAAGATAAATGGATTTCAAAAAACATGCCTCTCAAGCAAAAAATTAACCAGAACTGTAATGCCCCCCCACCCCCGTTCCAATTTGCCATACCTACCACAGCAGAACATAAGTGGCACAAGCTGGACTTGTGATCTAGTTCAATGCAGAGTGCCATCTGCTGCACATACACAGGATGTCTCCTATGCAAGACTCAACCTTAGTGTCTCTCAGGTACTTCTATAGAGTAAGTTGTTTCCATGTTGACCTAATGCATGTGCCTCAAACCAACACCTCCTTATAGAAGAATTCCCATTCATGGGGTTTTGAAATACTTTCCTAACAAACAGTGTCAGGGAGGAAAGAGATGTGAAGGAGCAACTGCACTTCATAACAAGAACACAATAAGGGAGTCAAAATATCTGGGGTGGGTGGAAGTCCTAGAACTATTCATATTAGCTGTGTAATTCTGACCAAGTCTCTCCCATTGTTGGGCCTCAATTTCAGGCATAAAATATCAAGATTTAAACAAATCTCTAAGAGATGCCTTTCAAATTGAGTCTTGTGAGAAATCATAGAATAACAAATGGAGGCAGCTGTATACATAATGGCTTCACAGCAATCACACACAAAAAACAACGCAAGAAAAAACCTTTTTACATTTTTTAAATAATCAGTTGTAAGATTTTGAAAAAAAAATCTTACAACTCTAAATTCATTTACAAGTCACCATTCCCATAACACTTCTGCCCTTCAGAAATAACACTTCACTTTCATTGCTCTTTCCGTTAAAATTCAGCACATTACTTTTACCTACCCCAGAATAGCACAGCAGAACACTTCCACGAAGTACCCACACAAGGAAGACCAGCCTGACAGACTCTCACAGTGGAAAAGACACAAGGCACAAATTTAAAAATGCTCCATGCATACCACACCCAGATAGTCTTAAAAACAAACTGTGCAAAGTCAGAAGACGTGTTACCAAAATATAAAGACAACTTGGGAAGTCTTTAAATTCTTTGAGGGGGAAATACAATCAGATTGTTGGGTGTCCATGTGTTTTTATGAGAACAGAACACATAACTGGAGGCTATAACGCATGCGAATCGCAATTGAACTGTGAAGAAGCTAGGCTCTCACCCAAAAGCTTCTGCAAAGCAACATGTCAGGACGGCAAATATGAAGAAGAACAATTTTCTCACAAGAGTAAGAATAGGGTCCATACCTTATGACCAAGCATGGCAATACCATCTTGCAGTTTACAGAGCTCTTCCAGACACTTAATTTTCTGCTGTCGTGGGTCTTGGGATATCCCCTCCGAGAACCCCCGGTCCAGTTTCCTCCCAACAGCCATGCAATCAGCACACGAGAGGTGCGTGTATTTGTGGAGGGCTGAAGGCACCGGTTTCTTCCATCCGGCAGGGCCGTCAGCCCCAGGACATAAAACCTGCACTCCTCTCGGAGTTGGCCAGAGACCAACACATATGGGTCTAGGAAGTGCAAGGGAAGAGAACCTGCAGACTTGTGAGGTCTAGAACTCCATGGCAAGTGGATCTCTTGCAATTGACAAAAATCACACACACACACGCACATGCACATGCACACGCACATGCACACACACACACACACACAACTGTTCAGACAGAAACTCCCCGATCCCTGCCAGCCAATGAAAACAGAAATAACTAAGACAACCACCAAATCCCTGCCTCTCCGAATAACTTGTCACCTTCGCTCCCCTCTGCCTGCTGCCCGCCCTCCTCCCTCGGGCACGCGGAGCAAGTTTATGCACCGGCCCTGCGAGGGGACCACCGGGGACCTTGGAGGACCGCGGACCGAGCCTGCTCCTGAAGCAATGCAGCATCCCTCGCCCGGCGCCGCTCCCCGTGCCCACGCACGCAGGAAGTCGCCGAGAGGGATAAAGTTTGATCGTCCTTCTTGCCCATCCCCGCAGGGCCGAGAGAGGCCCAGGGAGCCGCCCCGCGGGTCCGGGCTGCTCTCCGGGGACAGTTCCCCGAAGCAGGCGCTGCCCCTCTCCTGACACACACACGGGCAGCCGCCGCCACTCGGGACGCCCGAACCTGCCCGGGGAGGGGGCCAGGGGACAACTCGCACGGGGCTCCGCGCGGGAGCGGCGGGGCAGAGCGGTGAGGAAAGCCGGAGGGAGGGACCGACACCGGGGGCGGGTCAGCGCGAGGTTCAAGTCCCTGCCTTCCCCGCCCTGGTGTCCCCGGTCCTGCGGGAACATCCCGCCGTCGCCCCTCCTCCTCGTCCTCTCGGCTTCCTCCGCTCGCCCTCCCTTCCTGGTCGCCGCCGCAGGCGCCTGAAGGGCACGGCGGCCCCTCGGTGCCCGGCAACCCCGGGAGCGGCCGCGAGTTGAGGTAACTCACCCGCTGCCCGGGCGGCCTGCCTGCCGGCAGCTCCCACACACCAGCGCCGCCCCGCCCTCCCCGGAGCCGCCGGGCGCGCTCACTCACCGTCCGGTGGTGCTGCTGCTGCCGGTGGCGGCTGACGCCCAGCCCGGGGAAGCAGCCGGCCGTCAGCGCTCCGCAGCCGCCGGCGCCCGCGCCGCCGCCTCGGGAGGAGAGGAGCAGCAGGAGCGATCTACCTGCGGCGGCCGCCATCTCTCAACTGGAAACGGCGCCGACCCAGGCAGCGCAGCGGACGGCCGGGGCGGAGCTAAGGCCCGCCACTCACCGGAGCCCGACCAACTGCAGCCCTTGGCTGAGTTGGTGAGGCGGGGCTTCCTGCAAGGTCCAATCGACAGGCGGGAGAACCACACTTGAGGCTGCCTGTCACTTCCAGAGTTACCTATGGTGGGACATAGTCAATTACGGGCAAATTCTAGGGAACTGGTAATTGTCACCCGAGCCCCTCAGAATAGCAGCAATAGAGATGGCATATTCGAGTTGGCTAATCTGCACCAAGGATAGAGCTATGATAAGGGTAACTGGGAAAATAGATATTTGTGCAATGCTTTGTACTCTGTGAGTGTTCTAAGTCGGCAAAATAGGCACCAAATTAATAATAATTAACTAGGCATGCTTGGGACTCTCAACAACATGCTCAGAATTATTATTCATAACTGATGGCATTTGGATATGCTGAAATTAACCCTACATCATAGGGTGATCTAATGACTGTGATAAGTAACATAGTATAGGAGAGGTAGGATGATTATGATATCTAAGTCCCGGAATGAGTACATGCCATTGGAATGAATTAACAGACCTGTATATATTTCAAATGCTCAATTCATTTTTTAGCAACTTTATACTAGTATTGATATTCTTACACTCTCCAGAAGCACTACTCTATTTTCTTACCCTCTTTGACCTTGTGTGAACTTATTAAACTATAGAAACAGAACATGTTGAGAATTAATAAAATCATATAAAGGTTATTTTAATGAATTTTCATAATTTAGCTAAACTAGGCATTAGAAAATGTATTGGAATAGCATTGATCACTTTCTCTTGAAAAATATTCCTTTCCACAAGAAACAAGGTCATTCTGAGAGCTCATTAAAGACTGTAAAAAATAAGATTTGGGGTTCCTGAATCTCCTCAGAAGAGAATTTTGTCTGTTTTTATTATGAGCTGGTTAGTTCTCATACTCCTTTGGAAATATGGAGCAGGAAAACAGTTTGGTAAGCAAATAAAAGTATTATTCTTAATTTTGGAAAACACTTTTGAAGGGTAGCCTTAGGTGATAAAGAAACAACAAAAACACACAAACAAAATTTTATTTTATCACTTGTTCTAATAATATTCTTTAAAGCTTGACTGAAATGGTACTTTTTTGACCAAGAGTTATTAAATATTGGTTAGCTTAATCCTTCCACCCCACTCCAGGACAGTAAAATGATTGGCTTGTTAGGATGAGACTATCAAGCCACTAAACCAAAAGGCATTTATTGCCCAACAGTGAAACCTGAGATCTTAAGAATGAGATGAGCCTCCCATTTAACAGCTGCACACACTAATCCGCTTAGTTGGAAATCTTTGACCTTCCGGAAACAACTTCACTTACAGTTGTTTTCCATCCATCTATATTTATCTCATCTGCATTTTAGGTATTACCCATGCTGTGCCAGTGCCATTTTGTCTTCTCTCTCTTCCCTTCACACCTTCTTACTAGGATTATCATGAATTTTAGTTTTGTTTCTATTGCCAGTGCCTTCCTCAAATATGTCTATGAATCAGGATTGTGCCCTCCATCTCCATCTTACACTTTGAGAAGTTCTATTGGAATTGCTGTTTTCTCTATTTTTCCAAGTATAAAAATTAGACGTGCGTCATGCAGTACTGAGATTTAGTTCTGCACATTTGCACAATAACCACAATAAATAGGGGTGTGATTTTTAAGTGCCTAAACCTAAAACTGGAGGGATTACCAAAACCTTCTTATCTATTTACCAAAATGTGCCATCTTTTATCTACAAAGGTGAAACCACTGATGCACCACAGGTAAGCTGTGTAATTTAAGGATCCGTTGACTAAACTGAGTTATAATAATCCAGGGCTAGAAACTAATCTAAACAAATGTCAGTTGTCTCTTCATAAAGAAGATCTTTTCCATATATGCAAAGGACATATCTCACATTGGCTGGTTGACCAGGCCTCAGAAGGAGAAAGTGTAGGTAGTGCAACAGAAAGTCATTCTCATACCTTAAAAAAAAAAAAAGTATACATGAAGGGAAAAGGAATTAATATTTATCAACTACCTGCTACGTCAGACACTGTACTGATCCTCTAATGCAGCAGTTCTCAACCTGTGGGTCTTGACCCCTTTGGTGGTCGAACGACCCTTTCACAGGGGTCGCCTAAGACCATCTTGCATATCAGATATTTACATTATGATTCATAACAGTAGCAACATTACAGTTATGAAGTAACAACGAAAATAATTTTATGGTTGGGTCACAACATAAGGAACTGTATTTAAAGGGCCAGAAGGTTGGGAACCACTGCGAGTCTAAAGATATAAAATTTATAAGGGATGGTAAAGCAACTAGGAAAAAAAACTTTAAAATATCAGAACTTTTTAAATAAAATGTTGAAGAAAACTTAAATATCTTCCAAAAGGGAATTGGTTAAATTAGAGAATAACCCTGTAACCGAATATATGCAATAAGTTTTAAATGAATTGTAAAATATTATAATAACTATGTATGATGTCAGATGGGTACTAGACACATTGAGTTGATCACTTACGTTATATAATGTCTAATCACTATGTTGTATACCTGAAACTAATATCATATTGTATATCAACTGTAATTGAAAAATAAAAAAGAATTATCCCATCTCTACCTTTTTTTTCTTTATGGATTAAGGTATTACATATGTGTCCTTATCCCCCTCATTGCCTCCCCACTCCCCCAGCTCATGCTCTCATCCCCCTGGTGTCTGTGTCCATTGGTTGTGCTTATATGCATGCATACAAGTCCTTTGGTTGATCTCTCCCCCTTCCCCCACCCTCCCCTACCTTCCCTGTGAGATTTAACGGTCTGATCGATGCTTCTCTGTCTCTGGATCTGTTTTTGTTCATCAGTTTGTGTTGTTCATTATATTCCACATGAGTGAGATCATGTGACATTTATCTTTCTCTGACTGACTTATTTCACTTAGCATAATGCTCTCCAGGTTCATCCATGCTGTTGCAAATGGTAGGAGTTCCTTCCTTTTTATAGCAGCATAGTATTCCATTATGTACTATGTACCACAGTTTTTTCATCCACTCATCTGCTGATGGGCACTTAGGCTGTTTCCAAATCTTAGCTATGGTGAATTGTGCCTCTATGAACATAGAGGTGCATATATCCTTTCTGATTGGTGTTTCTAGTTTCTTGGGATATATTCCTAGAAGTGGGATCACTGGGTCAAATGGGAGTTCCATTTTTAGTTTTCTGAGGAAACTCCATACTGTTCTCCACAGTGGCTGCACCAGTCTGCATTCCCACCAGCAGTGCATGAGGGTTCTTTTTTCTCTGCATCCTCACCAGCACTTGTCGTTTGTTGATTTTTTGACAATAGCCATTCTGACAGGTGTGAGATGGCACCCCATTGTTGTTTTGATTTGCATCTCTCAGATAATTAGGGACTTTGAGCATGTTTTCATATGTCTCTTGGCCTTCCTTATGTCCTCTTTCGAAAAATATCTATTTAGGCCCGTTGCCCATTTTTTTGATTGGGTTGTTTATCTTCCTTTTGTTAAGTTGTATGAGTTCCCTGTAAATGTTGGAGATTAAACCCTTATCGGAGATAACATTGGCAAATATGTTCTCCCATGCAGTGGGCTTACTTATTTTGTTGATGATTTATTTTGCTGTGCAGAAGCTTTTTATTATGATGTAGTTCCATTTGTTTATTTTCTCTTTAGTTTCCATTGCCCTAGGAGCGGTATCGGTGAAGAAATTGCTTCAGCATATGTCTGAGATTTTGCTGCCTGTGGATTCCTCTAAGATTTTTATGGTTTCCCATCTTACGTTTAAGTCCTTTATCCATTTTGAGTTTATTTTTGTGTATGGTGTAATTTTCCCAACACCATTTATTGAAGAGACTGTCTTGACTCCATTGCATGCTCATGCCTCCTTTGTCAAATATTAATTGAGCATAGTGGTTTGGCTCAATTTCTGGGTGACCCATCTCTACTTTTTAAGAAAGTAATAATACTTTTAAAAGTTTTATATACATATATAATTTAGATGGTTGGATAGTGATTTCTGGAAGAATAAACAAGAAAACACATTAACTGGTGAATTTTAAGGGATAGCTACCTTTTTGAATGGTTTAACTTTTCCCCACCTGCATGCTATTTTTGTAATTGTAAAAACACAGTCACTGAATCTGCATCGCTAAAGACTTGTTTTCTGTGCCAATCCTTTAAACAGGTTGATCTTTTTTTCAGCTACAACTAATCAGAGCAGATTTCCTGGAGCATGAAAACCTAACTAGGTTCCCTACTAAAATATACATTGAAGTCAGCTCCCAATTATGACTCAACTCAATGGAGTATCTGCCTAAGCATTCCAGAATAACCAGGTTAGGTGATGTACACACTTCATTGACATGAGCAAGAAAACATGAAAGGGGTCTGCTTCAAGGTCATGGTTCACTGATAATGTGACTTATTATCCAAGTCAGATCAGCAAGTCTTTAAGATCAGGAAAAAGTATATGAAGAAGCAAAGCAAGAGTAAGGGTTTAGCCTTCAAATATTTATCATGAACTGCAGCCTGTTTTCTAGCTCCTCGCCTTCACTATTTTTCCAGATGTCATTATTCCTATTTCTCTACACCTACTCATCTGTAATTATCTCCCCAACACTACCACTTACATTCCCATGACTTCCTATGTCTGTGATCTTTTATGTCATCTTCCTGTCAGCTTCTGTGGATCATGAATATTTCTAGTAAATGTA